TTTAACCAGCTTTTTTATATATTTAGCTTTTAACTAGAATTTTGCTAAATTTAGCGTTTAACTAGAATTTTGCTATATTTAGCCTTTAACTAGTATATTGCTATATTTAGCTTTTAACTAGTCATTTGTAACGTTTAACTAGTCTTTTACTATATTTAGCTTTTAACTGCTCTTTTGCTATATTTGACGTTTAACTAGTCTTTTACTATACTTAGCTTTTAACTAGTCTTTAGCTATACTGTATTTAATGTTTAACTTGTCTTTTACTATATTTTGTTTTTAACTAGTTTTTTTTGCTATATTTAGCTTTTAACTAGTCTTACTATATTTAGCTTTTAACTAGCCTTTTACTATATTTAGCTTTTAACAAGTCTTTTACTATATTTAGCTTTTAACAAGTCTTTTACTATATTTTGTTTTTAACAAAGTTTTTTTTTGTTGCTATATTTAGCTTTTAACTAGCATATTGTTACTAATAGTCTTTAGCCAGCTTTTTTATTTTTATTTTTTGGCTTTTAGCTAACCTTTAGCTACTTTTACCTACTGTTTTTCCAGCTCTCTTTAGCCATTTGCTATTTTAGTCAAGCTTTTACTTCTTCTGGCTCTTGTGTTGGAACTTTTGGCTTTGACTTAGCATTTTTCAGTTTTTAGCTTTTAACTACTGTTTTGTTAGTTATAGCTTTTATTAGTTTTCAGCTAGTATTTTGCTTCTTTAGCTATTCTTATTCTTCTTTTTGTCTTGACATTTCAGTTTAGCTTCTTTAGCAATAATCATTCAGCATCAAGTGTTTATGCTGCATTTTCACAGAAAAATCAATTTTGCTAGTTTCAAACGTAAAATCAAATCTGATCTTTTAAGTCTGCTACTCCTAAAGCATCTAGCACCGCCATAAAGAACCCTCCCACTGGAGAAACTCCATCATGCAAAATGCACTCATGGATCTCTTAGATTTTAGACCCGTTTCTTAAAAAATGCACCTTTCTACTCTTCCTCTTAAACTGTGTTAACTCATATATCCACATCGTAACATATGTGACCCAGTTTTTCACTAAAACAACCCAATTCTTGCACATAACTCTCAGCTGCATGTGGATTTATTTTTTTAACTAGCTCTTCAGATGCCCTAGTCTCCCTGTTCCTGTTTAAGCTGACATATGACTGATGCATGAGGAGGTAATAAGCACTGTGACTGATTCTTTGTAAATTGTTCCCGGGGCTGCTCGTGCACCTCTGTAATGGCGCAGGACAACACATACCCAGAGATCCTGAGGTCCAATCTCGGCTCCGTCGTGCTGCAGCTGAAGAAACTGGGCATCGATGACCTGGTGCACTTTGACTTCATGGACCCACCAGGTTGGTTTCAACTTACTAATCTTTTTTTTTTTTCTTCAGTTCATGACAGAAACGGTGTTCTACTAAAATTTTTATATACTTCTTTATTTATTGCATTAGTAGATGAATTTTTGTGCACATCTTAAACAGATCAGCTTTTGAAGTCTAACTAAACTTTTCTCCATTCTCAGTCAGTGAGGTCAATAAACTGTTAAAAGATCTTGATCCTAAAAAATCTGCAGGTCCAGATGAACTTCCACCTTATTTCTTAAGGCTGGCTGCTCATATCATCACAGTCCCTGTGACCCACAGCTTCAATCTCTCCATAAGACAAAACTCCATCCCAGGCACTTGGAAAACAACCTTTGTTCTTCCTTTGCTGAAGGGAGGTGACCCCACCTCACTGAACAACTATTGACCAATCTCTAAACTCTGCATTTTAGCCAAGGTTCTTGAAAAACTGATAAACTCTCAAATCAAAAATTACCTGGACTCATTTAACATCTTACCTCCACATCAATCTGTTTTCAGGAAACAACACAGCACAACCACTGCTTCACTGAAGGTTCTTAATGATGTTGTTGAAGCACTGGATGCTAAGGATTATTGTGCTGCACTTTTCTTAGACCTGTCTAAAGCTTTTGACACTGTGGATCATAACGTCTTGTGTCATAAACTCTCAGAAATTGGTTTCTCAGAACACACCATTGGTTGGTTCTCTAACTATCTTTCAGACCGGAGGCAATGTGTTCAGCATAATGGTACTTCCTCCAGTTATTTAACAGTCAACAATGGTGTACCACAAGGCTCAGTCTTAGGACCCACCCTCTTTACAATCTACATACATAATGTAGGTAAAAACATCCCTAATGCATCCATACATTTCTATGCTGATGACACAGTTGTTTATTGTCGAGCTAAAACTGTTGCTAAGGCTTTCCAGCTTTTGAATTCTGCATTCAACATCATCCAGACTGATTTGTTTCGCCTCAAACTTGTCCTAAATGCCGACAAAACCAAAGGGATGCTTTTTTCAAATAGGAAGTTGGTCCCAGCAGTTCTTCCTCCGATTTTATCCTCAAATGGTGTCCCCATTGAGTTTGTTGATTCCTATAAATATTTGGGTATCTTGGTCAACTCACATCTCTCTTTTAAGCTCCATGTGGAAAACTTGGTAAAGAAACTGAAAGTTAAACTGGGTTTCTTTTTCAGAAACAGATCCTGTCTAACCCTGAATGCTAGAAAACGCCTTGTATCTGTGACTTTCCTTCCCTCAATTGATTATGGTGATATTATTTACATGAACGCTCCTACAAGAACCCTGCAGATGTTGGATGCTGTCTATCATGGTGCACTAAGATTCATAACTGGCTGTGATTATCGTACCCACCACTGCACTCTGTATTCATTGGTTAACTGGACATCATTAACTTCACGCAGACTCTCTCATTGGTACATTTTCATCTTTAAATCACTTCTTGGTCTGCTACCTTCTTACATCTCCTCCTACATGTCTCTGCGTGAGTGCAGCTACAGTGTGCGCTCTCAGGACATTATTACCTGCAGTGTTCCCTCAATGAGGACTGAACTAGGCAAAAGGGCCTTCTCCTATTCTGCTCCTGTTTCTTGGAATATCTTACAAAAAGATCTGAAGCTCTCGACCTTGACCTCTCTAAGTGGCTTTAAGAATCTGTTGGACTCCTGGCAGAGTCAGTCAGAGTCAGAGTCAGAGTCAGAGTCAGAGTTTCTTTATTGTCATTCGCACCTCATGTGGTACATGTGGTGGAGCGAAATTATGTACACAGGGTCCCAGTTACATCCAATAATAAAATATAAAAGAAAAACAGTAATAACATCTAAGATATGAACTAAGGAAAACATCAACTAAATATACACTAAGCACTCATAACATAAAACATTGAACATCAGCACAAACATGAACATGAGTCTGTGAGCAGATGTGCACGCATGAACACATCAACATTGAAACAGATCAGCAGCAACATGAAACAGATCAGCAGCAACATGATATGGTTTTTCACAGTGATTATTCTAGTTAGAGATTCATGAGTCTAACAGCCTCAGGGTAGAAGCTGTTCCTCAGTCTAGTGGTTCTACACTTAATGCTCCTTAACCTCCTTCCTGAGGGGAGTGGGGCAAAAAGTGTGTGTGCTGGGTGGGTGGGGTCCTTCATGATGCAGGTGGCCCTCTTCCTGCATCTGGAGGTGTAGATGTCTGTGATGGTGGGGAG